CTCTGTAGTTGCTGAGGCCTTTCTAACTGTCTCCCTGCAAGTACAGGCCAAGTAGGTATACTCCTCCTTGGTAGCTTCCCCCTGCTTCCACTGCCTGTATGCCTTCTTTTTTGCCCTTAGGCTCCCCTGGAAAAGATTTGGAGAGCTTTGAATTGATTCAGATTTGGAGATTCGGCCACCAAATCGGGCCAAATCTTTTCTGAATCGAATCACCACCCAAAGCCTCACACAGCCCTACTAGTTAGCTGCATTAGTCTGAAGTCAGTCAGAAGGCAGGGTAGGTATGCACCTTTATAGACTAACTCAGGGTGCTCAACCTCTGGGTTGCAGGCCAAATATGGCCTCCAGAACCTTGGAATCCAGCCCATGGGGCTCCCCATGAGGTGGGAAATTTGGTGGTGGGGAGCAGTGGCAGTACTGCTACCCTCCCCAATGCCAAGATTCCAGTCCCCATGGAGTGGGTCTGAGCTGGGCCACGAGACCCCTTTCCTCCAGGCCACCAGGTTGTGGCTGGTGTGCATCTCTTTCTGCCTATTGAGCCAGGCACACCCCCTTCCTTTTGTGGAGCCAGGCTATGCTCCCTCCCCCATGGGGCTGGATCAGAGCCAGGTTATGGCCCCTCCCCCCACCCCCCATGGGGTCAGGATGGGGCTGGCCCAAGCCCCTTTTCACTGCACAACTGGATCAGAGCCAGGCTACTCCCCACCTCCCTCTGCACTGCCAGATAGGCCCCTCCAGATCAGATCTGGCCCATGGAGGTTTCAGGCACTGTCCATCCAGCCAGCCAAAAAGGTTGAGCACCACTGAAATAACTAATTAAGACAGATAGGGCTGTGCGAAACAACAGCATCATTTTGCTTCGACAGTCGTTTCGACATTTTGACAGAACAGTGTTTCATTTCGAGTTTTGTTTCGATTCGAAAACACTGTTCCGTTCAGTTTTGTTGAAATGGTTTCGGTGTTTTGACGTTTCAGTCGGGCTGGGGAAGGGAATTCAGCCTGGCTGAGTTCCCCTCCCCAGCATTAGACTTGGGCTGGGGAAGGGAACTCGGCCCAACTTTTGGAATGTTTCAACTGTCCTCATTTCGTTTCAAGGCTGCTTTGAAGCCCTTCGTTTCATTTCGATTTCACTGTTTCAAGCTCAAAATGAGTCAAAACAGTGGTGATATTTTACACAACCCTAATATATATTGATAGATATATAGATTGATATGTGTACATGATTTAGTTTATTTAGTTGTATGTATGTATGTATGTATGTATGTATGAAGATGTAGAACAGTGATTCTCAACCAGGGTGCCACCAGATCTCCCACCAGGTGGGAGGAGATAAGTGAGGTGTGATGAGATGAGCACAAAAGATAAGCTGATAAGCATGGGTCAGCCTTGTCCCTGCCTGGCCACTCCCCCACCCCTACTCCCTAGCTTCTCTGCAAGGACTTACAGATAATAATACATAAATTTGCTTTTGAAATTGGGTGCCCCTCAATTCACAGAAGTTATGGAGGAGGTACCTCAAATCCAGTGAAAGATGCCTTGAATCCATAAAGGTTGAGAATCACTTATGTAGAATGTCAAACTAGTAGTATTTTTTCCAAAAAAATATACTGCATGCATGAAACAAGTTGCCAGTAGTGAAAAATCAGGGTGAATTATGTTAGGTTCAGGTATAAAAACTCTGAATCAAGGCCTAGAGTAGCTACTTCTGATTCCTTTTAGCAGATTGATCTAGTTAACTCCCACCAGGTTATAAAAGTGATCAGGGTCTCTGAGAAGCAAAGCAATAGGGGCCTGGACAGAGGATGTTGTACAGGGCAAAACAGTAATATTTTTGTTATTTTAAAGTAATAAAGAAAAACTCCAGAAAGAGTGTAAGTTTGTACTGTATGTCGTGTACATGTACAAATTGGGAGCTTCTGCTTGGTTAAATATATAGGTGTGCTTAAGGCCTAGATGAATCCCACTGAAGTCAATTATTGTTGTTCATTGGACTCTGAATTAGACCCTTGAAACAAAAACGTAAGTGGATAAGTAGAACATACTGCTGCATTGATTTGTGGAGGTAAATAGCTTAGTAACTATCCTCAAAAGAGTAAGGTTAGACTAACATAAAGGGGAATACTGCAATTGAACTAGCTAGTATAAACTTCATGGATCCCTGTACTTGAGGCCATAAACTAATCAGCAACCAGAGTTATGAGAAACTTCTTTTCACAGTGGAGTATTGCTCAGTTCCACGCAGAGGCATCCAGCATCTGACAGGGATTGTGGTTAGAAGAGAGACCTCCAGATGCTAGATCAGGGCCAGGAAATTATTTTGGGTGGAGGGCTGCTTACTGAGTTTGGGCAAGCTATCATGGACCATATATGACAGGCAGCCAGGGGCAGATGAATATTCATTTTCTAAATTGTTTAGGGGCCCCGCGGGCTGGATAGAATGGCTTGGTAGGCTGCATTTTGCCCACCCCTGTGCTAGATTAATAGCTGATCTGTTTTAAAGTGCCCTGGATGTTAGCCGTATCCCTCAGGTGACACTTTTTTTTTTTTGTACAAGAATAAATCTCATGTTCACATAACTTCTTAGTTTCTCTATTTATTTTCATATCTGTGAGGTTCTTACTTTTATTTTTTAAGCGCTTAGCTTCACAAACTAACTCAGACTGTGGAGAGGATTGTTCTTTCTTCTGTGCAGTTATGATAAAGTTTGTTCCTTATGAGTGTAAATGCTAGGACCTGTAGAAGATGCTTTCATGTTTCTAGTAATTCCCATTGGAGTAGGGGTAAGAATAGTAATAAAATATGTTCGCGGAGTGTGCAACAGAAAATTTTTATAAGCCCCCAAAATTGCATATTCATCATTAATTATAAATTTAATTTATAAACATGTAGGTTTAGGACACACTTACCTGTACTTCTATCTGTAAAAGACACTCTTCTTCTCTATAAACACCTGTTTTCCACAATCACAAAGTAATCCCATGCTTTCTACTTATGGCCTATTTATTTATTTTAGTAGAGAAGTCCTGTTTTTAGATGAGTGTTCATTCTGATTCTTCATTTCTCCCTTTTACACCGTCTGGTGTCCTACTGTTCACCCCTTCCTTTGATAAGTACCGTAAAACAATTTTTCTCCCTCAATTAATTGTTTGAGTAATAGAAGGGAATGCATAGAATAAATATCTCTTAGCTGTAATAGAAAGTGCCACCTAAACTCTATTGTAATTGATTGGATTGTTTAACAGTCAACAGCATCACACACTTTTTTCCCCACACTTTTTTTCTCTGGGCCCTAACAGCACTGACAGATGTGAAAAGAAACCCACACAAACAGTGCTTTACCAGAAGAGGAAGCACATTAGTTTGACTGGGACCTGCAACGCCTGCATAGATCAGGCGCTTCAGCAAGGCTTTTTGGCACTTTTATTTAATAGCTGATTCAATCAGTATTAGATAAAAGCGCCCAAAAGCCCTGCTGAAGTGCACGATCTGTATAGACATTGGGTGAGCCAAGTCAAACTAATGTCATGCCTCTTCTGGGTATACGTTGCACGCAGTGTGGGGGTGTGCCGAGATGAATGTAAAGCGCTGTGTTGGGTTTTTTTTCCATGTCTGTAAGCAGCCTAGGGTTTTAATGCTAAGCTGTAGCAGCGAGTGCTCTCAGAGTTTAGCTGTGCTTCATTATCCAGGATTAATGAGTGATAAAACCTTCTCAAAACTGACCTGAAATGGTTTTGGCTGCAGTGTAGTTTTCATCATAACTAATGTTTTTATTTTCAAAACGAATATATGATGTAAATATAATTTAGAAAGGTTTCTGTGGAAAGTACAGTCATTCACTTCTGTAATTTAATTTGTGGCTTGGCTATTCAAGAACTGTAGTTTAGATGTGATCACTAAAGATTAGAAATATTGTATTGCTAATGCAGTCAGTTATGTGTTCTCGCTGTCTCCTGCACTTTCCATATGTCATATATTCACGTTGTTTAAATTCATTTTAGGAGAGCATCTCTTATTATAATTGCTGAAATATGCAAAGGCAATTTCTTGGAGTTATGAAGAGTTATGGTAGGAAATGGGTCACCTGGAAAACAGGCAGTACTAACCCTCAAATAGCAGCAAACTGTTTCCATATGTTTTGTAAAGGATCAGTTCATTTAATCATTTACTGTGGAAGAGTGTTCTCTTCCCATATATTTTTTTATCTTATTTTTTCCCCAGTTTTTGCATTCCAAAAGCCTTGCCACTCTCCTTCTGGTCCCATGTTTTCCTTTTACTCCTTTTTTCCACCCAACCTTTACCCTCCCCTGCTAATAGTTTAGAGGTTTGTATTGCCTTCAAAAACACCATATACCCCATAATGTCCATGGAACTCCTTGGGGTAGGGATGGGAGGAAGTGAAATTTAAGCTCCTCCTGGGAATAGCGCCTGACCTTAAGTCCATCAGAGTCAGTGGCTGTTTTTCCCTCTTTCTCGTAAAATACAAGGACCCTATCTCAACATCGTAGGTAAGCTACTGAGGCGCCATAGCTAGACTCTTGAAACAGGCTGCTTGCAGACATTAAAAATACTCAAAAAATGAGCTTGACTGGAAGCAGCAACACGTTACTTTGACCCGGCTCCATGGTGGCTGTATGGATTGGGTGCCTCAGTAGGGTTTTTTGGCACTTTTATTTAAAGCTGAGTCAATCGGTTATTAGATAAAAGCTCCAAAAAGCCCCACTAAAGTGCCCTATATATACAGATGTTGGGTGAGCTGGGTCCAATTGTCTCCTCTGGGCATGCGCTGGGCTCGGCCAGGGAGCATGCTGAGTTTAAAGTAGGCGTGTTTTGGGGTTTTTTTCCAACATCTGCAAGCAGCCATCATTATTATCAAAGTATGAATCTGAATTTCACATTAGCTCTTTCTGAAAAGGACAACTGAAGCTACTGACCTGTTAATACACAGAGATTTTTCTTTGTCTTCCCACCAACATCTTTGCTTTTTTTTTTCTTTAATTCAGCTTGAAACTCTTTGTGAAGATCCAACCAACTCAGAGCCATTGATTCTCTTTGATGTGATGACCTCTGTTATTGAGCCAGTTGGTGACCATTTTTTATTCTACCATACCCTTGTAATTACAGTACTTTGTCATACACATAAGATGGCATGGTTAAGCTGGATATTAAGATGCTTGCCCATACGTTTTCAAAGCATGCACAATGGTTTTTCTGTGCAATTGCCAGCTAAACGGCTGCTGAAACCTGCCTGCCACTTCATAAAATGGATTTCCAGGTCCTAAACTGAAGAAGGGTTTTGATTTTTTTTTTAAATTCAAAACTTAAAAAATCCTATCAAACCTGAATATTTTTAAAGCCCTTTTGAGAATTTTCAGCTGGCATACAGTCCCTTGAGACGTGTACGCTGTGCCAAACTTTGCTAGGGAGTGCTGCTGTGAAAGCATGCCCTGCCCACTCAGTCTGCATGTGGTGAATGACAGTGGATGCTCACTTAAAAGCAACTACATTATTTTTTTTGGCATTTGGAATGCCCGGAGTGGGAGTGTATGTGTGTTTTCACAGCAGCGCTCCCTAGGAAGGTCTGGCGCAGTGCAGACGTGCCCCCAGGCACCATCACACACTGACAACCTGTCATGAGTTACAACAGTCCCAAGGCCGCTCTATCTAACTTCAGGAGTAAGGAGCTCTAATTGGATCCCTGATGGCCCTTTCCACATCTCTTACACCAAGCATAACTTGGTGCAGGAGAGACTATATATTTACATGTAACCATTTTAAATATGGGAGTATGTGTGTGTATTTATTGTGTTGGCTTGTAGAATAAATCAGTTTTCTTTCTTTCTCTGGTAAGAAGACATCAGCTGAGGAGGTGCCTGATAAATCTGCTCTGACGCAAGCTGCAAATAGTGATGACAAGCAAGGTACTGGAATCAAAGTATCTTGCCTTTTTCCTTTATTGGTTGTTTTAAATGTAAATGGACATTTTATGTTTGCTAACATAATCTGTGGACATGTCCTATTGCTGATTCAGTCATGCATTACTGCGCATCTTAAAGACTTGTAACAACAACAAACAAAACCCAAATTGATAGAATTATTTTAAAATTTGCCCTAGTGTTGTGACCCTTGGGAAGCTTTAGCCTGCCTGGTCCAACAGTAGTCAACCTGCAGTCACAATTCTTGGAAACCCAGGTTCCTCAATAGTTTATCAGATAAGCTGGAAGGAAGCCCATCTGTGACTTTAAAGAAGGTTTGCAGAAACCAATATGTTTCTGTGAAATGTTTCAGCTGCAGTGAATCAGGATTTTCAAGTGAAATCATGTTTCATCAAAAAATTCCCAATGAGCTCTAGTAAAGATGGTAGGACATGTACTATCAAGGTAATAAAATAACCAATGATGATTTCATATGCATCCCAGAAAAGTCCATTTTTTTTAGCGTAGATCCGTCTCTGACTGCAGATCTCCTGCTCATTTTTTGTAGCCCCATAAAAAGATGAGGTTTTGTCATATAATACTTACAAATTAATGGACATATGGCTACGGAAAAGGTTCTGTTTGTTACCAAAGCATGGTTTCAAGTATAGCTGCTGTGCTTGTTCCTATTTTATAGCAAAATAAAAACAGAAGAGCTCCTCCAGTTGCTGTTTTGAAGAACAACTTCTAAGGAATCGGGAGGCAGGGCATTGCATTTGAGAATGCAAACTTAAATTCCTTAGATTTGCATAATGATGCATCTGGGGAATCAGACTTTATCCATGTAATGTCCATTTACTTGGCACACAAGGAGGTGAACTGAGTTTTACCAAAATATACCTCCTGCATTTGATGAAAAAAAACTGTCTTCCACCAAAGTGTTGGTGGAAGACAAATGTTGAGGTCTCAATCTGTTCTAGAGGAATAAACATGGGGTGCCGACAGATGTAGAACCCCCCCAGCGCTTTACTGAAAGAGGAGTTGTGTCAGTTTGACCCAGCTCCCCAGTGTATGTATAGCTTGTGTGCTTCAGCTGGGCTTTTTGGCACTTTTATCTAATAGCTGATTGAACCAACAACTTTGGCTTAAGCTGATTGAATCAGCTATTAGGTAAAAGCACCAAAAAGTCTAGCTGAAGCACGTGAGCTGTACAGATGCTGGCTGAGCCGGATCAAACTGATGTGATGCCTCTTCTGGGCATTGCACTGTGCTCAGTAAAGGGGCGCACCAAGCTGAAAGTAAGGCACTGTTTGTTTAGGGTTTTTCCCACATCTGTAAGCATGCAGGGAATCAGAAACTGGAATTCTGATACGTCAGTGATTCACCATGTGTCAAAAGGCAAGTGGCTTAAGCCCAAGTTGTTTAAAGCAATTCCAAATGTTGAGCATGCTCAGCTTTAAGGTTTTCATCATGGAATGGATAAACTTGAACAATTGGAGTTGTTAACTGCTGAGTTTTAACAACCTCCCATTCTCTGGATTTGAGAGGACTTCGTCCTTTTGAAAATTATGTCCTTGCTGGCTCAATTAGGATACCCAAATACAGTGCTTACTTGCCAGCCTTGACCCAAACCACTTGGCTCCTTTTTTTTTTCTTTTCTCTTTTAAATAAAGGCAATAGTCACTTCCCAAACTGTTAAGAGAATATATAAGCTAATGGTTGTATAATTATTTTAAGTATCTGAAAGGTTATGTGACCATCAAGTATTAATAGGATGTTTAATCAAAACTTGAAAATTTAGACAGTTAAATTCTCTGGTACATAATTTAATTTAAAATAACTCTTAATGTTTTATTTTTTTAATTAAGCCTTGAAAATAAGCACTACTGTCAAAACAATACCAAAGGAATTTCAACACTTGGCTATCAAAACAGGTAAGAAAAGAAGATACTTGTATCTTTTCCTTAAAGAATTTACCATTCTGATTTTTGTAGTATGTAATCCAAATCTTGTTTTATTTGACTTCAAGTGCTTTTTCACTTCACTCCAGCAGTAATGTTTAATAATGAAATTATTTTAACCTGAAAGGTTAAAGACCATGTATTTGCAAAATTTGTTCCACTTAGTTTTTTAACTTGTCAAAAATGTTCAGTTTCTTTACCTCTCCTTTTTTTTTTTTTTTTTTAAATTTCTTCTAAAGACTTTTTTCTGAATTGGGTGCATGCATGTGTATGCACGCACATA